GCAGCAGTGAATTTGAATCCAACACCAGGAAGACCACGGCTACTCGTAATCGCGGCCTTGCTATTCAGCGGACGTCCAAACACGTCAACGCTCATGTCTAAAGAGATGATCATGATCGTTTTATCAAATTAATAAATAATACCAGCCTCACGCAACTCTTCGATAATCGATACGATTTCGTTGGAGTGACTGGGATTACCTGCTTCCTGTGACGCAAGAAGCAAACGAAGACGGTCTACTAATTCATTAGGATCGTCCCAGTACACGTAATCCGTTAGTCTGTCCTTAGCACCGATCATGTACCGTGGTATGATACCTTTGTCCGTTACAGAGGACTGTTCAATTAGTTTTGCAATAACATTTTTAAATTTGAAACTCTTGCTCCTACGAATATAATCATCAGGTTTATAGTACTTTTTATATGTATTCGTTGTTATAATAATGTTTTTGTAATTGTTCAAGTCATCCTGGGTTACATGATTCTCGTTAGGTATCTTCCTAAACAAGAGTTCGATCAAACTGTTAGTTTTCGGATAACTGGTATCGCCTATATGGATTTGATCACCCTCAAAACTTATAGGTGAATCTCCAACCATCAACTTCTTCTTGGAAAGTTTACGCACACCATAGGTAGTATCCAATTGTTTATTCTGCCTCGATAGCAGCATACTAAGATACCGTTGCATCGAATCATTTTGATTAACGGGTAAATCCACATCATTCTTGTGTCCATCATCACCATCATAATCATCATCATTATCATCATCATCATCATCTTGAATATCACTGATTTCCCCAATAGTGGAATCATTTTTGAGCGTATTAAAGGATTCATTCGTTGTTTCAAACGTATCATTAATTCCTACATTATGTTTTATTTCATCTTTGATTTCATCTTTAATCTTATCTTTTATAGTATTATGCTCTGTTTGAAATACGTTCACCAGTTTCTGCAGTGGAGTCACTACCGGTTTGAACACCTCACTCATCGCATGCTCGACATTCTCTTTACCCAATTTTATCATTCGATGCTTTCTGCGATTGTTTATTCTGCCTCGATAGCAGCATATTAAGATACCGTTGCATCGAATCGTTTTGATTAACGGGTAAATCCATATCATTCTTGTATCCATCATCACCGTCATCATCGTCATCATCATCATCATCAATATCATCATCTTGAATATCACTGATTTCCCCGATAGTGGAATCATTTTTGAGCGTATGAAAGGATTCATTTGTTGTTTCAAACGTATCATTCATTCCTACATTATGCTTCATTTCATCTTTGATTTCATCTTTAATCTTATCTTTTATAGTATTATGCTCTGTTTGAAATACGTTCACCAGTTTCTGCAGTGGAGTCACTACCGGTTTGAACACCTCACTCATCGCATGCTCGACATTCTCTTTACCCAATTTTATCATTCGATGCTTTCTGCGGATCGAATCGCTAGCTTTAGCGATTTGACGCAAGATGTTTTTCTGCTCTTCAAGTTTTTCACGCTGCATGTTGCAATCACTGAATCCAAAATGCTACTGTATCCATTTTTTCGATTATCACTCTTGTTCGATGCTTTCTGCGAATCGAATCACTAGCTTTAGCGATTTGACGCAAGATGTGTTTCTGCTCTTCAAGTTTTTCACGCTGCATGTTGCAATCACTGAATCGAAAATACT